CCACAAGTTGGTACTCGTGGATCGCTTTTTTCAAAGCTCTCAGAGACCTACCACCTTCTCTCTGCACAGGGGAGGTTGTATCTTTTTGTGGATCCATACAGAGATTTAAATCTCCTGCTACTATCAAACGCCCTTTTTTAAAGTCTATCAATTTTTTCAGCAGACCCTTCAAATAGATCTCCGGCTTTTTGTTGGGGCAATATATATTGGCTAACGTGCACTCGATTCCCTGTAATTTGCCTTTCAAGAACAAGAACCTCCCCCCCGGATCGGTCTTTCTATCCTCCAACTCAAATCTCATGTTCTTTGCCAACCCTATTGCCACCCCTTTTGCTCTTTTAATTGGAGAGTCAGCGTAATACCATGTTGGAAAATATTTAGATTTTAATTTTACATTTGACTCTATCTCAAAATGTGTTTCTTGTAAAAATACCACTGATGTTGCCCTATGATGTAACTCTTTAAACAACTTAAATCTTTTCCCAGGGGAGTTCAACCCGTTCACATTATATGTTATAAACTGTATTTCTTCCATCCTACTTTGTTCTGTCTATCTCTCCTCTAACTCGCCTCCTCCTCTTAGATCCTTCTATCTTGCAGAATATTAACCCAAACTCCCCTCCCCCCGCTCTCTCCCACCCAACCCCCTCACCCCCACCACCACCCCTCAATCCCCATCTCACCCCCCCGCCTCCACCCCCCCTTTCTCTTTTTTCCCCTACCCATTTTTAGGCTTGTAATCTGCCTACAAATCATTTGTGGATACGGTTCCACGATTGATTTAAAATTTTTTGGCGTAAGCTCCGCCCATGGACGGCTACCCCTTCTCCGGCCTCCCCAGATCCCCTTTCTCTATCAACTGGGCTCGAGAATAACCTTTACTCCACCCCCTTAACCAGAGCTTCCTTAAGGACTTCCACATTGACAGGGGTGGGGTAGGGGGGGGGGATGGGAGAGTAAGAGAAAAAAAAAAAGGAAAAAAAAATATTTTTTACCTAAGTCACCCTCCCTTCTCTCTCACCAACCCCAAGACCTCCCTCCTCCTCCCCCCCACCCGCTGCCAGTCCTCTTTTCTTGTGTCAACCGTAGCTTCCTTTTCTTCTTCTTTTTCTTCCCAGCCAGCTATCTCCAATCTTTGCAAGTCCAGTCTATCACAAAAGTCTCTCAGATCTTCCGGGGATCTCAGATAAGCTGTAACCCCATTTTTCCACCCAATTAAAGATGCTGAATTACCCCATCTATACTGCACATTCTGCTTTCTCATTTGCTCCAACAGGGGTCTCAGGGATCTCCTCCTCCATAGAGTCTCTGATGTTAAATCCGCATAAATTTGGATAGTCAAGTCTCCATATTTAATTAATGATCTTCCTTTGATCTTCTTCCATATCTCATCCTTGACCCCAAATTTTTGGAACTGAACAATTATATCTCTCGGTCTTTCTTTCTCAGTAGCTTGTTGGAACTTTCCTGTTCTGAACACTCCATCTAGTTTAATCCCGTCTGTTTCAGGTCTGTCTCTTATGGAGTTTAAAATTTTATTTACTAATTCATATAGTGTTCCCCCTTTTACAGACTCTGGAATTCCTCGTACTCTAAGGTTACTCCTTCTTTCTTTATTTTCTTGCACTTCCATCCTATAGAGCAGTTTTTTCTGAGTTTTCTCTAGATGGGCTGTTTTTTTCCTTAGATTATCTATGGTTTGGGCCTGGGTTTTAACTTTCTCCTCTGTTTCTTCCATTCTCAATAGCAAATGCCCTAAATCGTTTCGAATAGCTGTCATTTCATGTTTTATCGTTTTCTCCAGACTTTGAAACATTTCTATCATCTCCTTCTTATTTGGTACTTGTAGTTCACCATCAAGATCTTGTTTCCCCAAGCCATCCGCTATTTGTTGGTTACAGGAGCTATTCATATCCAGTGATAATCTAGGACTATTTCCTGTGTCCATTTCCCCTTTTGCGCTTGCGCCTTGGGCCCTTTCTGGCGTAATATGTCCATGTGATGTAAACTTCCTTATCGTGCCTGTTTGAGACCCTTTGAGCCCTGCTCCCTTGGGACCTTTATTCTTCATATCCTCTATATGTCTTTTCTCTTCTATATTCTCTGGATGGGATTATACCGCTCCTTTGTGATTTGTGGACCTGATATACTTGTTATTTTTTCCTTATTTTTTGTTCTCCTGAAGCGCCTAGGGCTCTTCTCTTGTTCTCTTCTAGACCCAGGGAATCCTCCCCTCACCTCCTTGGCCCCTTTGTCCCTAATGTCACTTAGGGATCTACTACGCCATAAGCCCCCATCATCAGCTCTCACTCACCCCGACAGCGGCTCCAGGCTTGAGTGGGGATCCTTCACAGCAGCTCAGCTCAGTCCTGGGGGGGATTCCTCTGGATCTCCGACACTGTGCTTCACTTTTTCCATCTGAATTTTGCCCCAGGGACACAGGGTGGTTCTCCTGGTATTCCCGGGTCTCCCTGGTCCAGGATCAATCAGCCGGCCGAGGGTAGTAGTCTGCAGTAAGCCGGGGGTAGCGAGCCACAAAAAAAAAAAAAGCCGGTAACAGCGGAGCGGCAGCTCCCTGTCACATCAGGACGCCGGCCGGTCTTCTCTTTCCCCCCAGAGATCCTCCGCGGCTGGTCACGTGTTTCCTCCACATCACCTCACTTCCCAGCCGCTTGGATCTCTCTCTCTTTACGAAGCGCCGGGGGAACCGGCGCGTCTCTGCAGCCTCCGTCCCACGGCCATCTCCGGCTCTCCGGGCCCAGCTCCACGGCCCTCCAGACTCCGGTGAGACGGTTTCTACAACGGGTCACTGGGGAGGTCGGGAAGCGGGAGCTAGCAGCAAGCTAGAGCCACTCGCTCCCCACAGCCGCCATGTTCAGGCTCCTCCCGCCCACACTGCTCATGGCTTAAACAGAACCTGTCAAAAAAGGTGTGACCTGGATCAGCTGAAGCCTCCATTGCCCAGTCGTAGGTGTAGTGGGAGTGGGGCAGCCACATGATACTGCAGAAATGACGCTACACCAAAATTAGCCTGCTTCTATGAGTTGCACAAAGACATCCTCTAGCACACACAGGTTTTAGTGCAGGAAAGGTTAATCTTCAGTCTTCAAGGCAAAGGATCTCTCCACAGGAAAGATAAAAATGTAAACAAGGGGTTAAATGTATATACTGAAGAGTTATTGCATTGGTTAGTGTTATGACTGCAGGGAGGGTTAATGTGTGGTTGGTCTGTGGTAGGGTAGGACATCACACTCTGCATAAGGAGCACTCCATGGAAAACTAGAATCATTGACTTCCAGGAGGTAAAAGCTAATGTATTGTCCTAAGAGGATCCTTTTACATGGAAAGTGACAAAATATACCAGTTTAACTTTAAGTGCCCTTCAGTGGCATCACGCATAGTGCATTACTACTGACACAGCAAGGGTTCCAGTAGACTAAGTGTTGTTCATGTTTTATTGTGGACTTTATAGCAAATCATTTTAGCTTACTGCATGAATCATGGCAACTTGTGACAGTAGCAAACAGTTGTTGTACAGTAGAAATTTGCAGTTGGTCTTCACTGCATCAAAGCATTTTATTCAACCACCGATAAATACAATTGCAGGATTGCAGTTAATACCTGGATGCATTTAGCGCCATAATGAGCCTGATGAACAGACACAGGTATTAACTGTGATCCCGCTTTTATATTTGCCGTAATTTCAACGAAATACTTCAGATTTCAGCAAGGGAGTGTCTTCTTGTTTCTACTTCCATGGTGGCTTTAGCAAGGCTATAGGACCTAGGGAGTTATGCTGTGTGGATTGGTTAAGGTTTCTTTAGAAACTGAAAAGTCTTTATAACCATGGCATTTTTTTTTTATAGTGTAACCTTTCATATATAGCATTGTTCCCTGGAAACCAATGCTGCAACTAACTTGGAATTTGATACCTTCTGTTACAAAAAAAAAAAAAAACAGTTAAAGAATAAGTTCACCACTTTTAGAAGCATGTTACATGTTACACCCATATTTAGGGTGTAGCATGTAACATGCTCCTATACACCCTGCCTTCCCACCACCCCCAACGCTCCTCTCTTCTCCCTGTATCCGCATGGGTTCTACTCCCTGCACCCACACAGGTGTGTCATTCATTCACAGTTTCCTGTGAATGAATAGACTGAAAGTATTGTCTGCTATTGCCGCATATGGCTTTTAGTTCTCAATTAATTGTGAGGGCGCAGGTAAGAGTAGTCTTATAGTTCACTGATTCTTCCTGCCATTCAGTAACTGCCTGCCTGAACAGGAGGTATGGGCAGACAGCAGACAGCTGTTTTATAACAATGCTTATTGTACTTAGTCCCGACTGAGAGTTTGCAGGATCAAGGAATTGCTCCCACGATCTGCTTATCGTGCGTGCAATGCTTTTCAGGTTGCAATGTAAAAAAAATTATAAATGCAAAAGTTTTGCCTGCACAATAAAAAATTAAAACCCGTAGATTTTTTTTTTTTTTACAAAAGGTGAACTTAGCCTTTAAAATGGCAATAAAGTACTTTAGAAATATAATATATGTAGCCAAAACTGGATCAATTACAAGGCAACATGGGCAGAAGCCTAGAGCCGGGTGGATGTTTTAGGCAAAATACACTTGTGGGCTCTTCATGCCTGATAGGGTTGGCGATTTCAGTACACACAGAACAAATAAGACAACTTTTCTGTTACAATCACAATACAAAGGGGAATATCATGGGTTAGAAGTTTATAAAACAGCACCCAAGTTAATTAAGATGTTCAATAGTGCATATATCCTATAGAGCAACAGTGACAGAAGTTATGAAAGTGTTTTATAGGCAGAATGGGAGTCAATCTCTCACTGTACCCTTGGATATTAAACACATTTACTTTTTAGCACAATGATATTAAAAAATAAAATAAGGCTAGGATAATATTCTAGTTTTCAAAATGCTTGTTCCCTAAACACAGCCATTTCAGTTTTAAACTATGTAAATAAAGCAATTACCTGCTTGATTGGGAGCTACCTAGTTTCAGAAACTCCTCGGTCTTCTTTTGAAGATCAGGCTGTAAATACAACATTCATTTTTATGATATATATATTTTAACAAATGGTTATGCTTTGTTAAAAAAAGAAAAACAGTTAAATTTCAGATATCCCAAATGTAGCCTATAATCCTTCTAAAACAGAACATACATTTTAGTAAATACATATTATAAATTATTATAGCATTTTCCTTAGAGGAAATTAAAATAAAAAAATTGCTCGTCCATAATGTTATTTTAGTGAATAATGATTGCAGTTTAGCCACTAGAGAGGACTCTCATTGGCTCAGTGCAATTACTCTGACTCTTAAGAACAGCAAAATACTGTGCAGTAAAATGAACATATTGTAAAATTTAAATTTTTTAAAATTTCATACCTGTACGTCATTTGGGCCCCAGCCAGAATCCTGGACAAAAACTACTCGTTAGCAATCTCCATGTCCTGCCTTGTTGCTTGGATATGAAAATTGTTAGATGCTTACTCTCAGCATTACAGGAATAAAAACGGATGGTCTTCATCTCCTAGCAACAAGGACATGGGGACTGCTACCTGGGGTTTTTAGGCCAGGCTACCGGGGGGGCTTGAACAGCCTACAGGTAAGACAATAAAACTAATGACCATTTTACAAAGCTGCAGTTTTCTAAAAGGTAATTGGTTCCCTTGACTGCATAAGTTATTTGTGGAAAGGGACTTGTGCCTAATTCAGGCAAGCTATTGTCAGTAACACTGTGAGTGTGTGCAGCAAATTGAGGTCATTTTTAATACTGGCACTGCCTTTTCAGTCAAAGGTAAAGCAGACTAATCTCTCAGTTCCCCATCAGGCTCCACCCACCCGTAATATAAAACTCCTCATCCATGCCATCGGTATGATGGGTGCAGTCGTTGGGGAGGGAGGGTGTCAGCGCACTCAAGAAGGAGTATCCAGTATGGACCAAAAAAGGATTTGAGTCGGGCTGTCTCTTTTAGTGCTGTGCCCTAACAAAGTTTAAAAGGATGTCTATTAATTCCCTGGATAGAGGGCACATTGTTTTTAATGAGATGATTCAGTCAACTCATAGACTTGCACTAAACGGAGGAATAGCAAAGCATAACCTTTGTGTAGTACTACAAACAGAAAACAGGGCCTGTATATCTAAAGGAACGATATGGCATTCCAATTTACTGTATATATCATATACAGAAACAAGACTTTTATTCAAATCTTGTTCATAATTTTACCAAAGTGTCTGTGTTACTAAGAAACTTGCCATGAGAGAAATAGAGGGGCTGCCATTACTGTCTGTTGTCTGAAAATGCTAGTTATGCTAACCCTCTAGCTTTAATGCTGAGACCCTACCCTGACCAAGAAAACAGATCAGGAAATGCAGGGTCAAATTCAAAAGTCCTTATTTATATGCTTGTTCCAGTCCAGTGGCCCAATAATTAGTTAAAGGAGAAGTGTGAGCTACATAAAAAAAAAAGAATGATCACATGACTGCTGATTGCTCAGTTCTGGGTCCGCTCTGAGCAGAAAGTGGTGATCGTCAGTAACGGCTCTCTGCCCCTCCAGCGCTCACTGCAGCTCCAGGCTGTGGAGGGGGCAAGCACGGCTGGCTCAGGCTCTCAGCGGTGGGCTGAGAGGCTGAGCCAGCTGCTAGTCCGGCATCTGAGTGGACCCCGACAATATTGTCAGGATCCTTCCAGAGCCTGGAGCAGCTCTGTGACATCAGTTGACAGCGGGTCATGGGAGAGAACAAGTAAGTGTACTCCTGTGATCCAGAAGAGAAGCAGGGCCAAAAAAGCTTTGGTCATACTTTTCTTTTAATTAACTTTCACATGTGTATCCAAAAAAAAAAACAAATAAAAAAAAGAATATCGTTTGTAGAACTCCAGGCAGAAACATTTCCTTTTAGTTTCTGGTGTATGTATGAACATTATCTCTGCTGAAGTAAATGCAATGGTCACCATGACAAGAGGACTGGGGGGTGGATAAGTGACACTAATGCTTCCGGATATGAAAGCCACAGCTCTCATATCTGTAGCAGGCTGAAGGTATAGTGAGAGCTGTACTATCCAGCATAAACCCAAATTTACAGAAATAAATATAAGTTTTGAAATATAAAGCAGCAAGCCAGCCATGACATACACCTCACCATAGGTAATGTTTATAGCCCTGGTCTAAAGTTTTGAGAATGACACAAATACACATTTTCTCAAAGTCTATTGCATCAGTGTTTTTAGATCTTTTTGTCAGATGTTACTATGGTATACTGAAGTATAATTACAAGCATTTCATAAGTGTAAAAGGCTTTTATTGATAGTTACATTAAGTTTATGCAGAGTCCACATCTGAAGTGTTGACCCTTCTTTTTCAAGACCTCTGCAATTCACCATGGCATGCTGTCAATCAACTTCTGGGCCATATCCTAACTGATGGAAGCTCATTCTTGCATCAATGCTTGGAGTTTGTCAGAATATGTTGGGTTTTTTAGTTCACTGGCCTCTTGAGGATTGACCACAAGTTCTCAATGGCATTAAGGTCTGGGGAGTTCCCTGGCCATGGACCCAAAATTTTGATGTTTTTTCCCCAAGCAGCTTAGTTATCACTTATGCTTTATGGCAAGGTGCTCCAACATGCTGGAAAAGGCATTGTTCGTCACCAAACTGTTCTGAAGATTGGAAGATGTTGCTCTCGGAGGATGTTTTTGTACCGTTCATATTGGTATTAGGATGCTTTACTGTTGGCATGACATGGGGGCGTGAACAGATGTAGAGCTGACACTATGCCTGAGGAGCTCCTGGAATCCTAATTCATCCTGCCATTTCTGTTGCTCTCCTGTTTACAGTATTTATTAGGTCAAAGTGCACAGCTACTGCCAGCGACTATATTAGGATGCCATCTAAACTCAAAAAGACTAGTATCCCTGTTGGGAGGGAGCAGACGGCTTCCTCTTCCACATGCTCCGACGCCATCTTGGCTGCGCGCCTGAGGGCTCTCCATTCTGACTTGCATATGGCGGAGGATACACCCCAGCTGGGGGGGTTTTCAGATACATCAGTCATCCTGGGAGCCATAGAGCAATGCAAGACATCACTCCGCTCCTGGTCTGGTTTGACAGGGTGGTTGAAGAATGCAACCTTATCAGGAATGACCTAGACAGAATCAGAGGTTGGCTGTCTGAAATGGAATCTCGCATCTCAAAGGCTACCCTTTAATCCCTGCAGAGCACCGTCCGCTTTTTAATTGCTAACGCGGATGATGCTGAGAACCACCTACGCTGCAAAATGTCGGGGTCCTGGGGCTGCCTGAGGGCACTGAAAGAGATAAACCTGCAGAATTTGCAGACTCATTTCTTAAGGAACTGCTCCATCTGAAAAACATTTTGGCCACTTATGTGGTAGAACGTGCCCATAGGGTGCCCCTGGGCAAGAAAACCACCAGATCTCCTCCACAACCATTCCTTGTCTAGTTTCTCAATTATAGGGACTGTCACAAGATCTTTTCGGAGGCTAGGAAGCACCGTTCTCTACCTTTTGAAAATACAGTTGTTCAACTGTGTCCAGATTTCTCCGCGGAGCTGCAGCGCAAACGCAAAAGCTTCACTGAAGTCCGATGCAAGCTGCAGGACAAGAATATTCCATATGACTTACCCAAGTCACTTCCATGTTTCCCATAATGGCATGGTTAGCTTCTTTGACTCCCGTGAAGATGCAGATACCTGGCTACTCACCCTGAGGTAACTTTGCCCCTTTTTTTCTTGATGCAAGTGACTCTAGAGCTGTTGCGCACTCCTCAACCATTACTGTTTACTGGGAAGTGGCGTACTGGTTACTATATTCTTCTATACATTTTTCTACTCTTAGGGCTTGTTTGTGGCCCACAATGCACATGGCTACCCTGGTTGCCACGATTGCACCATTTTCCCATTCACCTACATGGGGCATAGGAAATCCTTTTACTCCCTCTTATTTAACATCTCCCCCCCCCTCTCTGTGCATTTTTACTCCTGGCTGGACCTGTATTTTGTTGTGGGAGCTGCCTATTTTTCGTTGGCAAACGTTCTGTCTGCTGGAAGTTGGATTTCCCACAGATGGTTAATGGACATCGCCATTTAGTCGACATTTCAAGGTTTCAAGTTTTGGGAATCAAACTGCGTCAACCCATAATGGTTAAAGTTTGGCTACATGGTAGGATATGTTTAATCCAGTTCAGCTCCCAGACACTCAGGTCTCTTATGGTCAGGTACTCTACTAGCTATTGCATCTATTGCATGGAGGAACATTGCAACGGTTTATCCTTACTGGTCTTGTGTCATCTGTGTTCCCCCTTCCCTTCCCCTATTTCTGTTCCTCCTCACTGCCTTTCTCTTCTGGGTCTCCTCTCTTTTCTCATCTGTTCAGAATGGATATTAAGGTAATATCTTGGAATGTGCGAGGGCCAAACAACAATTTAAACACTCTCTCATGTTTAAATATTTAACAGCCCATAAACCACATATTGTATTTTTACAAGAGACCCACTTAATGTGTAATAAGATACTGACCCTTCACAGAGCCTGGGTAAAAAAGGCTTTTCAAGCTATATACTTATGCTACGCTAGAAGGGTTACTGTCTTGGTAAATAAGTCCCTACACTGTACAGTGGAGCAGGTTATGACAGATCTTGGAGGCAGATGTTTTCTTAATACTAAACATAGGCATGACACAGAACAGATGGTAGCACTCATCTTTTCTTCTCCAGAGAAGGTGTTTTCCAGATGCCCCAAACAACCGAAAAGAGGATTCATCAGAGAAAATTATTTTACCCCAGTCCTCAGCAGTCTAATCCCTGTACCTTCTGCAGAATATTGGTCTGTCCCTCATGGTTTTCCTGGAGAGAAAAAGCTTCTTTGCTGCCTTCTTGACACCAGGTCATCCTCCAAAAGTCTTCACCTCACTGTGCGTGCAGATGCACTCACACCTGCCTGCTGCCATTCCTGAGCAAGCTCTGTACTGGTGGTGCCCCGATTCCGCAGCTGGATCAACTTTAGGAAATTATCCT